CACCAGAGAGCCAGAAGACACAATTGTTGATATTATTATTATTATTATTATTATTATTATTATTATTATTATTATTATTTTAATATTATATTATCATTTTAATCATTGTAGTTTTATTGTATTATTAGTTATGAATGTTATTTATTTATTAATTATTTAATGTTATTTATTTATTTATTTATTCACTATTTAATAAGCCTATTAATAAAAAAAAATAATATAACAATAGTAACCATGAAATAATGCATGACAACCTTTTCTTCTTTTTTTTTTCTTTTGGCCACTTTTTCATGTCGCGTTTTTCGTTCCCAATTTTAATGTAGTTCTAATTGAAATCTTTTTCTGTGTGCTTTGTTCGGATGATTGAATTTTTATATTTGATGTTAATAATAATACTTAAAATAATGGTACGATTTTAATGATCCAATAATTAATAATTAAAATAATCGATTTTATTACTTATGTTTTTAACCTTATGTTTAACTGCTTATGTTTCAAATTTTATCTCCTTTTTTTGTCTTGTGCTCGTGTTTAATTGATGTTTTGATGTTTTATATTTGCCTACTTGCCATAGTTTTGTAAATTTCAATTTATTCTACCTTGATTGCGAATTTGTTAGGATAAAATTTAATCATAATTTGTAAATAATGCAATTCTTAATGTTTTTAATCTTTTTCTGAATGTCTGTGCTGTTTGTGTATTGTTTATTAATAATTAATCCTTTGATGTTTTTATATTACTTTCCTTTTATGTTTTTATATTACTGTTCTGTATTATTGTAAGTATCATTTAATTCAGTCTCAACTGCGATTTTGATATTGAATAAAATGAAATGAAATAAGAAAAAGAAAAAAAAGGAAAAAAAATAAAGAAATTAAATAATAAATAAATTAAAGAAATACAAATTTGGAATAAATGTAAAGGCTTCTTGTATACATTGAAATCTGTACAATTAACATTTACTCATGCGACAGGATAGCATTGGGCTACATGTTTACCAATAGCAAGATAACAGGTTGCAAATGACTACTGCAACAGCAGAACACAGTACACATACATCGTCGCCACTTATCATAATTCTTCTTCTCCTCAGTGAACTATCTACGATTGTTGATGATTACTCTAGTACTGACCTGATGTACGGTGTTCCTATTTCAGTATTGAGGTGCTTAATAAACCAAGCACAGCTGTGTGGACTGTTACGAAGCAGCACCTCTATGCAGTGTTCCCATTCATCCTGATCGTTCCTTCAAAAAATAGAGTACACATTTCTGTTTAATCTACATGAAAGTACAGTAATACAGAGCAAGAATCACAAACTACTGAACATCAACTTTTGCTGTCAATGTTTCTGAAGCCTCAGAATAGATATGCAATCATGTTTAAAAATTAGAAACTTTACATTTCTTTTAGGGATAAAGCAAGAAAAAAAAAAGCTATGTCAATTAGAACTAATGGAGGAATGGGAAAGTTAGTTATTTTACATTTAATTAAGCAATTGAAAACTTAGCAACTTTACATTTTTTTTAGGGAAAGCAAGAAAAAAATGCTATATGTCAAATTAGAACTAATGGGGCATGGGAAAGTCAATTATTTTACATTTAATTAGGCAACATTGTTTTGTCTTTACCCGATCCCTTCCTAACTTAAGGTCTAAAAAAAAAATGTTATGTTGGCAAACCTGACCGACTCTAGACATTTTTATTTAAATTTCACGAAGTTTACGTGAGCCAAGTCGGTGTGGTCGGGCATCACGCTAAATGTTTCAAAAGTGGTCCAAGGATGAAAAATATGACAATTAGGGGCTTTAAAGGCATATTTTATTGATTTTATAGATTTCAAGGCAGTTAAAAAAAAAAAAAAAAAAAAAAAAAATCCCTACCTACCCTAATTTTTGGGGCCTGTTACGCCATCATAAAAAATTTTTTTTAGGCCTAATCCCTCTCTTGCCTACCAAATTTCTCCTTCCTTCCCTGTCATGCACATGTTGTCTCCATCTTCTAAGATTCACATTCATCCTCTCTATCTTATCACTCTATTTCTTCCTTCGAAATCTGATACACTCCTCACCAGCAAACTCATCTATTTAGCCTTTTCCAAATTTCCTTCTATTAATTCTTTTCTCCTCAGTCTCTCACTCATTCAACCATCAGTATCAAATGCCAATATTGCTAAATAAATTCAAAAGCCCAGATATAGAGAGCACCAACCTGAAAGACTTTTTGGTTCTGAAATAGGTGTTCAGCAGGAAGTTTGTCACTAATTCAATACTTGTTTCTGCCATTGCACTGTAATCCTTCAGGTATATATGACTCTACATAAAAACACAAAATAAACATATGCTGCATGAAATTTCTATTGATAAAGATAATAACGTGTTTAACATTCATTCATGGATTTTAAAACAAGGAATAACAGCATACATGGACATCCCCATACTCCATATAAAACTAATAAAAACATATTTTATAGTTGATTCACTAGTGTTTTAATAACAAGAGATTTGAAATGGTACCCTTTTTTTTCACTTACACTGTTGCACGATACGAGTGAGCGAATAAAATTAAAATAGTCGGCACTGAAGATGTCCCGATTACGCATATACTGCAAGTTGTCGTCCAAGATGAATTTCTGAATTGTCGGCGACATCTTATCTACAAAGATACCACGTCTTTCACCCTTCTGAACAAGGGCAGAGAGTTCATTTAGCTCGTCTGAGTTGTGTATTGGAGAAAACTCCGGAGACGAATTTATACTGAGATAGAGATAAATGCATCGATTATTTAATGAAGCTATCAACATAATAAAATAAAAAACAATTATGAAAAAAAAAGGAAAGTACAGTCGGTTGGTTTACAGTGCATTATAAACCCATTCTCATCATGAAAATTATTTGCAGGGAGTTGTTCAGCAAGTGATTTTGTAAAATCTAACATTATTGTAGGAAATAATACAAGACGATTTCATCCAGAAATTAACACATAAATTTACACAACATGATTGAAACAAAGATTCTACTGCATAATCTTATATTTAAATTAAATATGTAATACAGTTGAACTTGCTTAATTCGAATCCATAATGATTTTAAAAGATTGTTGAACTTAAATAAAATTTGACTTAACAGATCGTTGGAAAAAAAACAATTTGGCATGTAAAATAAATTGACTATCGATTATTAAAGTTAGGCGAATTATATTATATATATATATATATTGTTTTGCATTATATGGCCGTTTGCTGTTTTATGGGTTTTTCCCATTTGCCTTTCAAACTTATATATTATTTAAGAATCTCTATTGAGATCCAACGCCGCCATTGATGCACGGTAGAGATTGCATCTTTAGATCTCCGATCTTGTTCACAAATTCACGGACTAGTGCTGTCTGATAAGAATTTTGTAGGATGCATTAAGAATGACAAAATATTCTCTGTATCTACTGGAACTGAGCCGCATAGCTTGTATTCCACTATTTGCATTCACACCTGGGCTGTGTATATATATTGCCTTGGTTTGGCTCTGTAATCATTAGTGGTCGTGGGACTAGTTTGGGCCCTGCCTAAGCTGGTCAAACGTTTCGTTTGGGTCTGTACCCTAGCTGCACTGATGAGGCCTGGAAGGCCGAAACGGATCCGTCTGCAGATATTGGGATTCCTTCCAGTGGATGCTTAGTTTATTTTGTCATTCTGATCTAAGAGACAGGTACTTACACTTGAATGTCCCCTTCGCTGTCATGTTTCAGAATGGCTGCCCTTGGAACTGATGACCGCTGCAGCGTTGAATCTGGAGTTTTAGTTCCCTCAATCTTCTCATAGAAAAGCATATATCCACTCCAGTAACGTAACCTGGTCTCTGAATACGAAGTTCCTAGTAACAGACATAAAACACAAATTAGGCATCCCATACATGTATATAGCTGTCCTGTACCAGTCTTAGATTTTTCAGAATTTGAATTAATTCTGAAAATCTAGCTGAAAAATAAACACACTGACACACAGGTGGCTAATAAGGGATGTTACATAAATAAACAAATAAAAATATAAATCATTCAATCAATTAATACTTTATAGTCCACTTTTTATTACAAAAACATAAATTCATATCTTGGTTTAGCAAAGAAAAAATAAGAAAATTACATAATTTAAAAATTAAAACTATTAAGGATTTTATTTCAATTGGAAATGGGATGGACTCCAGCCTAATGGGCTCTGTTCACAAATCATGTTTTATCTTGTACAGTATGTGCATGAGCATCGAAATAAATTCAATCATTTAATTCTAATAAATTTTTTTATAGTACCAAAATGTGAATACTTGAGACTGTTGCTGTAATGAATACACTATGCACAAACACCTACCATGATCATAGAGCTTGGGTTTATAGGAACCACCAAAACATTCGGTCTCAATCGTGCTATCTGTCATGTCAAAGCCTTCTACTACTGTGTCATTGAACTTGAACCATTTACCCTTACTGGCGTTGTTCATGGATGTTCCCCTATTCAAACGAAAATTAAAGTTAAAATAAAAAATGAAAGCACTACAAAAACAATAGTAAACATTGAAAATACACTTGAACAATTAGTGAACATTGGTTAAATGCAGTATAGTAGTAACATTAACTGTTTAGTTGAACCCACTGTAAAGTGGCTGAAACTTTTATGTACTGTACTTAACTTATCATTATAAATGTTTCTACAAGATTTCCTAAATGTTAATTCCAATACCTGGTGAGCAAAACACAATCTAATATACTACTAATATTTGTATGTTTCTTTTGATTGTGGATGACACATTATCTGCTAAGTGACACCATGGCCTCCATTGCCTGGTTTATAAGTGGTAAGAACTAGTCTGTTGACTATCGGACAATTAGTCCTACAGGATGAGGTCGTAGTGGACCAAAAAATATCAAAATAACTCCCTGCTTTTCAAAAGGGATGCCCTGGGTTCTTTAACGTGTACACAATTGAGTTGTGTACACTGAGTCTTGTTTTATCTGATAATAATTACTTGGATTTAACACTGCATCTATAGAGGTAGTTTTTGCATATACTCATGTACTGCTAGTGGACTAAACTCACCCAAGTATTAGACAGACCCACCACTAATTATTTATTTCGAAGATATTTTGTGAGGGTGGTCCATCCAGCCTGAGCTGATCTATTGGGGCCCTCACTTAACTTCAGTGATCTGACATGACCCGGTGTCTCAACACAGCATGTGTTTAAAGAAATCCTTACCCCACCCTGATAAACTGTTGGGGCATAGTTTCTTCCACCATCACACCCATTCCCAATGATGACTGTCAGTATGTTAAGGTCTACATATTCCTGAGATTAAGCATAAAGTGATTCTGAGAAGCCTTTGGAGGAGGGAAACCTTATGCAGTGGAGTGGTAGATCCAGAGGTAAGGTAAGGTAAACAAAGAAATACACAGGAAAAAGATAAAACAGATAAATAACTTTTGGAAGGTATTTCCAAAAGTTTATAACCACGGTGACAATTATGCGATCGGACTAGAAAGTAAACGTACCATCTATCCCTTATAAAGGAATAATAATGGCCAGCGTTTGCTTGCCCACTATGGACGAGAACGCCAACTAGTTGATAAAGTTCATCAAGTTTGCTGTGCTTGGCTTTGGTCTTTGTTATGCTCTCTGTCGGTGCATCTACTTCTTGCTGCTCGGCATTGTTCTCTCGTCGACTCATTCCTTCTGATGTGTATGGTTCCATATCCAACACCCACGGAAACTGCCAGAAAAGAAAGCATCAATAATATATAAATCCTGCAATGTCTACATTCAAATTATTGGCTTTAACCCACAACGAAAAGCCATTGTTTTGTTGTGATTTTTTTTTTCTATCTTGTTTTCCTAAGTTTTTCAACAGGGTTTTTTTTTTTTGTTGTTTGTCCCTTTAATCACTTACTGTTCTCTATTCGTCTTCAAACACTGTCCAAGCAAAGACCATCAACAAGTTTACATATTTAAAATGATGTCACTCTACATATTCATAATATTAGTGAATGGGTAATTAAATTAGCATTTTAAACTAGTTAAAGCTAGGTTTAATGGCCTGTCCCAGCCAACTTATACCCTCCCCCAGACTGGCAAATCCTTGCACCAGACAAAAATTCATTGAGTTTTTAAGATGAAAAAAAAAAATTTCCAAAGAATTTCTACCTTAAAATGATCATCAAATTTCAGGGCTCTTCCTGCCTCCCAATCATAGCCAAACCGCTTCAAATGAATTACCAACACTGGAGGTAACGTTTTGATGCATGTTCTCTTAATAGTATTGCGCTGAAACAGAACAACAATTGTAAAACAACAAAATGTTTATCATGTTTTTAAACCTCATACCTGCACAGTATGTTTTTATAATTTCTCCCAGACTTAGGAATAAACTCCAACTCATTATACATTAATTGTTTGCTGCCAAATCATATTGGATAAGCTATTGCTTCTTTAAATCCTAGAATTATTATATCCATAGTCTCCATCCAAACATTTTCTGATGATGTTATTTTATTTTAATTTCAAATCATCATCTAACAGCAAAAAGCCAATTACAGGATGCCTAAAATAATACATTACATAAAAACATGTAAAATACTGTACAAATAAATTATTAATTATTGATACAATTATATATTGGAAATTTTAAAAAGATATTGCATTTAATACATAAAAGTACATTACAAATATAGTATTGACAGAACACATAATCCCTAACTCATTATGTTATGGCAATAATACATAATTTTTCTTGGTTTTGTTTCCATGTCCTTAATGTAATATAAGATTAGTATAATTTGCAGCCAAATATTTTAGAAAGGCAATGATATTACACATTATCTTTAAGGCATGAAATCTGAATACTGAAGGCTATGAAGCTAAATACCGAGAAGAAATCATTATTACAATATTGTCACCCATAACCATTGTGTGTATAGTGTGTGTTCACAGGGTGTGGGCTATCCCTGACATTCTACAGCAGCTGTGATACCATTCTTTTCCACAACCTTTGCCAATTTTATTTTTCTGACGTTCCTTTTTACCTTTTCATTGCACTTTTCGCAAAGATATGCATTATCCCCTTCCAACATCTCACCACGAACAAACTGCTCTAACGAGGCCTCAAGGTTCTGACTTTTAACAGTAAGGTTTAGAGCAAAGAATTCTTCCTCTCGTTCGTACCTTAAAATATATAAATAGCATATACCATTGAGCACAAAAATACAAAACATATAGTCAATACATTTACATACAGGGAGGGGCATTTTTAAGATTATGCTTTTATACTGCCTGTTTGTACCAATGGTTTAGTTTCTTGTTTAGATTTCACAGTCTACAGTTACATTTATAAAAAATAACCAAAAATAAACGCATTGCCATTATTACCTAAACAGCATTATAAATCCTAACACAAGGTTTAAATTTAAAGGGGTTCCAAATCTTTTAAAATTATTGTATATCTCAACTACAACAACACATAACACTTTATGCAAATCTGTCTTTACATAACTGGATCAAGCTGGCCTCTACTGTAGATAAAAACAAGTAAACAACATTCAGTTGTTTGTCAAAACATGCTCACTATCTCCTAACATCTTTACATAATTCTAGAATAATTCTATTTAATGTTGCCAGAAAACGCTTGGCAACAATATATATTTAGTTTTGTCAATTAACTTACCTATGAGGGCAGTCTTGACATATTTTCTGGTCTGTGAAGACTCCCTGGAATTTGCTTTTGAATACCTGTTTCTTGCCATTTGCCTGAAAACAAAAACAAACATGTTTCAAAAAGGGAGGTTTACATTAAACATAAATTAATCATTACAAACAAATGAAAATAATTATTTATTGACATACACAATATGTTTAAAAATGAATAAAATCAATAAATTCTTTTGTTTTGATTGATATCGAGTACGAAGTAAATACAATGTTATGTAGATAATTAATGCTCTATAGATCTTCCATCTTGAAAGGGAAATGGAAAAAAATGAAATATATCTATCTGATTGAATTTAACTGTAATGTAATAACTAATAGTTAGTTTGATATAGACATTTATACTTGGTCTCAAAGAGCTCAAGGCGTAGGTTAGCTCTTAAAGTAACTTGCTTCTCCCCTAAGGGTCTCTTTGTGTCCAAGCTACCCAGTAATTCGATACCACCTACTCTCCTCTGTCCACAACAGGGACTGTATGAACCAGAAAACCAGGGTAACCTCCTACTCGTATCAAAAGATGTTCTGGGTTCTGTAAGGTGCACATGAGCCAAATTGTGTATACACGGATTATGGTTTGTAGTCCTTATCCGAGAAGACTTGTTCCACCCAGCAGGACCATAGAAAAGGGTGCCATTCAAATCAATGCCGATATCATGGCTATAGTTTGCGGCCCCCCTGACTCAACCGCTTGGCCATTCAACCATCATGAAAGTGAAAGGTGATGTTAAAATGCCGTAGCAGCACACATACCTTGAGGAACTCATCAATCTGATCTGTTAGATCAGTGAAAAATTCAAATGCATCTTGCTGTTCACGAATGTTCACTGGCTCACCCCACAGTTTGAACACTCGCCAAAAACGATCCGGCTCATAAAACTGCAGCTTACTTTCCATCAGGTGACCGAAGATCATTTGAAGCTGGTAGAAAACGGTTTCCTCATCATCATCGTTGTCATGGCAGCTAAGTATTTCCTTTAAAAAAGAAAATAAAAACACTAACTATGACAATTATTAGTAAGTAATCATCATAAAATATTTAAAAAATACATCACTTACAAAAATTAAAATAATTCCTTAAGCTGTCAAAAATATCAATTTCATTTTGACAAAAAAATGTTGTGCGCTTATATAGATATGATGATCATGATGTGCCTCTATATGGTCATGATGTGCCTATATATGGTCATGATGCACGTATATATGAATATGATGCACCTATATATGAATATGACGTGCCTATATATGGTCATGGTGTGCTTCTATATGGTAATGATGTGCCTATATATAGTCATGATGTGCCTATATATGGTCATGATGCACCTATATATGAATATTATTTGCCTATATATGGTCATGGTGTGCATCTACATGGTCATGATGTGCCTATACATGGTCATGATGTGCCTATATATGGCCATGATGTGCCTCTATATGGTCACGAAATGCCTATATATGGTCATGATGTGTCTATAATATGGTTATGATGTGCCAATATATGGTCATGTTGTACCTACAGTATATGTAGTCATTATGTGCCTATATATGGTCATGATGTGTCTCTATAATATGGTCATGATGTGCCAATATATGGTCATGTTGTACCTATATGTAGTCATTATGTGCCTATATATGGTCATGATGTGTCTATAATATGGTCATGATGTGCCAATATATGGTCATGTTGTACCTATATGTAGTCATTATGTGCATATATATGGTCATGATGTGCCTACAGTACATATGGCCACGATGTGCCTATACATTGTCATGATGTGCTTATATATGGTCATGATATGCCTATTATATGGTCAAGATGTGCCTATATATTTTCGTGATGTGCACCTATATGGTCATGATGTGCCTATATATGGTCATGATGTGCCTATATATGGTCATGATGTGCCTATATATGATCATAATGAGTCTTGTTTTTGTCAAATAAAATGTTATAGTCTGGACAGAGCCTCAAACAGGATGAGGATATACAAAAATGGTTTCAGTTGAAAACACTTTACCTCACGAATACCTGGAACCATATAAAGAAGCTGAATTACAGAATTCATGTAACAAGTAGCACCACCATTCTTCAGACCAACATACCCACTCGGTGATCGACCGTCCACTGGTGGTGATAACTGCAAAACAATTAAATGAAGGTACATATTGATTAAGATTAGGGAAGATAAATTATAATAAGACATACCGTACTTTATACGGCCATCACATGGCAGAACAACGTAACTGCTATTATATTTTTGTGCAGTTGCGTTGTTTTACCTTGGAACAGACGCATAGTCATTTGCACAACCAATAGCAATCCTATGAAAAATAGAGCACTACACCGCTAGACCACCACTGACAACTTACATCCCATTGCGGCTGTACAGAGGGAGTTGGCTGATGATGCATCAAGGACAGGTGTTGAGCCACCTGTCTAAGATTCTCGGCACAATCTTCACAAAGAGTCACAAGCAGATCATATGCAGCAGACTTGGCATCATTACACACCAACCTTCAAAATACAATGAAAAGAGAAATCTGAGGCCTAGGTTCAGCATCTCATCTCTTTGTCCAAAGCAGGACCTACTGACAGCAATGTCTCTCTTACCTCCGCCAAGCCACCATTCCGCAAAAAAAATACCACAACCATACGTGTAAATGATTACAGAAGCCTTTTACAATAGCAATTATTACATATTACGCTGTTGTATTGATTATTTATACCTCTGACCCAACATCACTTTAAGTCCATTTCATCTCACATGGACCTGAGACTGGTCATTTACGAGAGATTCAACTGTATTAACAGCATAGTGAAATAACTTACTTGGGGTTGAGGTTTAAGTTTGATGTGATCCTTGGGTTGTTTGCATTGGCTAGAATCAGACGAGAAGCTGGGTACAAATAGTCATTCAGCATGTTGGAAATTAACTGTTTCCCTACAAGAAAAACACTTTGATTATAATTTTATGTTATTAACTGTTTGCTTACAACAACAAACACACACATGGTTATTAATTTGAAGTTATTAACTGTTTAGCTACAAACATAATATGCAACATTAACAGCCAATCATACCAGAAATAACTCAGCATGTTTACACCTCAACAGGAATAAAAGGATGAACATAGATCCACCAAATGTATAGCATTGAAATGCCACATAAACATGTGTCAGAAACCATATATAATTTACCTATCTGTTTCTTATCAACATTCTCACAAGTCAGAAGACTCTTCATCAACTGCAGATGCCCTGTGATCAACTGGTTCTCCATTTCAACAGCACTTTCCTCACCAGCACCAGACTCGAAATTGCCAAGCCACTCTATTTCATCTTCTAGCATTGATCGCGGGTTCACCCCAAGAATACTCTGCTCTTGGCCTTAGGCAGAAAACATAATGGAAGTAAAGACATTAAATATGAATTGAACAATTTGATTATATTTAACTTGAAAGCAGTTCTAAAAGTATACATAAAACAAATTACTTTCTGTGATAACTTTAAACAGGTAGGAAATATTCTTTGCCATCAACATCATCACTGCTACTGCAATCATATTCACCAACACTGTCAATACCGTAATAATCACCATTGCCTTTTCATTTGTTGAATTATTAAATTTATATTATCATCACAATTGCAGTAAAGAACATCATTAAACATTTTAATTTCATTTCATTAGAAGTATCAAATAACCCTTGTTATGTACATTCATTAAAAAAATGCAGTGTTATCTCACTTGTCAATCTTTCGAATAAAAGACATCTTAAATCAAAATACTGCTTGCACTGACTCAGTAATCTGCAAAAGGACGAAGAAAATTATTATATTACAAAAAAAAATATGATTGTACAAACACAAATATGATTGTTTCATTATCCCAAAATTATTTTTTAACCATTAAAACTCTAAAACATGTAAGTAGCAATCAACATAATCAACTAAAATTCAATACAAAGTTGATAAAAGGAAACAGGTACATGAAACATAAATTTAAAATGCTGGATCTTCCAGCATAGCAACTACATCACTCTTGTATCAATCAATCAGTCAAAATCACTTATTAAAGGTTCTTCGTTCCTATAAGCATACCTTAAGTTTGAAGCTCTGGTGTATGTACTGGTGATCCACAATGGAACATGGGCTTTGATCAACACCTGAATTAGAAAGAGCCTTGGCTGAAGAAGATAGGGGCTGTCTGGAATATGTGTAGTAGCTAGTATGTACAGTTGCTCCATGGCAGCTCTCCTGACGTCCTGGTGACCTGATGCTAACAGAATCTCTATTATGAAATCATTTACTGATGGTAGGCTGTAGAAAGAATCTAGATGCAAGAAAGTAAAAGAAAATATTTAAAGTTATGGTGAAAGAAGACAGAAGACACAAAAACTTATTATTTAGACAAAAGAAAATGTTTAAATCATGACAACGCCTGTGCGAATGAGCAAGGATTGGTTTTAACGAAGGTCATGCAATTCTTAGCCTAATCTGTTACATTGTCCCGGAGTCCTGAGCAATATTTGGTTACTAAATCTGCCTCTTTATACCAATGTATACAGTGGAAATCATTGCATGTGTTATCAGTGTGTTGGTTTGTACAGACAGCTTTTTGACTGTCTCCAAATGGAAGAGGTAGTTGTATGACCTACTTGTGGTACATAGATCTTTGCTGTTGTGGAGTGTTAATGCATAATACTTACTAAGTAGCTGGCTACGTAGTTGAAGGCAAGCAACAAGCAATTCCAAAGCATCCCGAGCAATCATGGCATCACCGGTGGATACCTTAGACTTCAACAAGCAGACGCCGCTTTGTAGATGCAGTACATCACTCTCACTTGATGAGCTCGCTGTACTTCCTAATTAATCAATAATTAAGTTTTTTAGCATTTATAAAATGTCTCTCCTGGAATTTCATAAAAATAAATTATTAAATTATTTTCTGTACATCTAACTTACATTTTCAATTTATATTTACTGTGGTATGTATTGTAATTTTGTAATTTAATCTGGACCTTAATGCCAATGACTAATGTTGCATGTCGCCTAGAATGATTATGCAAAATATATCATCTTAAAGCACTTTAAAAATGTAGAGAAAATAAATTGAAATTTTTTAAAAAGAAATCATATAGTTTCTTAAGAATAACTTGTAACAATACATCTAACAAACACAAAAAATAATAATATAATACATAGTATGTCTTGCCTGTACTACTCTGCCTGCTTCTCCTACCCATATTGAAAGATGGGGCATTGCTTTCCTTAATTTGATTTGTGCTTGCCAAATATAGTCTCCCTGCAGCCGCCGCCCAGGTGACTCGCATGAATTGTGCAATCATGGACGTATACTCTGTTGGGCTCATTGTCTGGAACATAAGAGAATAACTGATTAAAAAGATGGGATCTTATAATGCTTTGCTTTCCTTAATTTGATTTGTGCTTGTCAAATATAGTCTCCCTGCAGCTGCCGCCCAGGTGACACGCATGAATCGTGCAATCATGGACGTATACTCTGTTTAAACTTCTAAACGTTGAATTACATATCTAAAAAAAAAATATTTTAATCATTTTACCTGGATGACAGATATTGCAACTGCTGTTCCCTCTTTCCCACTGAAATCACCACCGGCACTTTCAAAACTGTTCATTCGATTCCAGAGGCTAGATTTCCTTGGGGATGAGGAACCAACGCTGGAGCTGGAAAAACCAGAGCTATCCAGTGTTGCTTCATGCTGACTGGACGATATTGACAGATCATTCTCCATTAAAGCAGTCATTGTTTGACCGCAAAGTACAAATCTGCACAAGACAATCACATTTTCAAGTTTACAGTTTGAGTTTCTAATGTATTGTGTATATTTTTTAGTGGTGGGCCTGTAACCAATTTCATTAAGGAGACCTTACTTTCAGGGGGCACTATGTGATCTGATGTAGCCTAGTAGTAGAGCTCTTCTAAGGGATTGTAGCTCATGGTGCTGAAGCTATTCTAACATGTAAATGGTAAATTTCATAATTATTTTCATGTTTTTGGGGTTTTTTTATGCAAGTGGAAGGGTGATTTAGGTTTATCAGAGGGATTCACTCAAAAAAGGGTTCAACCAAACCACAAAATCTCAATTTGGTTATGGACCAGGTGTAAGGAAGGGTAGCAGAATATAAATATGGAAGAGGATAAATTAAACATAACAGCTAATCAGAGAACCAAGATCTCAAGATGCTAACAATCTTAAGATGTGTACTCCACATCAAGCAATGTTCCATGGCACTGAACAAACATGTGGAAGAATCATTGCTAATACTACTAACTGCATACTAAATATACCACTAAATATACAGAATTCCAGGATTTTTAACCTGGAAATTGAGACCCTAGTAAAACGATGCCAATCAGGCCCCTCGATGTTATCAGGTCAATTAGCTGATAAGGGCCTTATTTGAGCAGATGGTTAGCCCAATGCTTATCAAGAATACACTTGAAGTTGTTAATTGTAGAGGCAGCAACTGCTTCTTCGGGCAAAAAATTCCATGAAATAACCACTCTTCTCAAAAATGCATTTTGACGCAACTTTGCTCTACAAAAAATGACGTCTAAGCTTGAGTGAATGACCACTAGTTCTAGAACCATGATCTGCTTTAAAAAGCTTATTAACCTGACAATAGTCAATACCCATTAAAAACCTAAATACCTGGCCTGGGATTTATCAATTTCAGCTTAGCAAATATCTTAAGTCAAAAAAGTTTAGATGTCCCTAAGCAAATATCTTAAGCTGAATTATCAAACCATCTTAGCAAAATCTTAGCTTAAAAATCATCTAAGATGGTTCATACGTACAACTTTTAATTACGACTTTTTTAATTTTAAGCAATTTTTAAGTTAAAGCAATATTGATAAAATTGACTTAAGCAAAATAATCGACTTAAGATGAATTAAAGTTGGTTTTTAGTTTGATAATGTTGGCAAATTTAGTATTTTTAGTCTGTCAGGATAGGAAAGATGGTTCCTCTGAAATCATACCTTGCTAGTTGAATACAAATCGAGTAGCACCCCCTTCTAGTCTCCTCATCCGCATCAGCTGGAATTGCATCTTTCTGTAAGATGCTCACAATCAGACTAAGTCCCCCCGCATTGAGGAAGGCTTCACGGAACCGCCTTGTTGATTGAATACCATTATCTTCCTGATTGGCAGGCATCAGGCATGCATTTAGCACCTGCAATTTCAAAATGTCTCAAATGTTAAATTCAATGAAATTTATTTCAGAAGAATACCAATATCATTCACATTAATTAACTTCATCTTATCTATTATCAAAACAACCATTATTCCCACCATTGATCAACATACTGTAACTACGGCTGTTGTAAAATACATACATACCGTAAAACTTTGAATTGAAGCCCAGTGGGCTTAATCCTGAGTTGAAGCCCCCTCTTTAGTTTGCAAAATTAACCTACATACACTGTACATTAATTTTCAAAAAACAAAATAAATCAAAAACTGGTTTATACAGTAGTTTAGGTGATTTAATGCCAGTTAAATACACTCCAAGATACAGATTGATGTTAAAGTGGCTTTATTTATTGTTTTATGGTATATATTCAGAAAATGTACAGCATTCATTTTGAAAAGAAGCCTTTTTTTTTTTCCCCAACCATATTTAAAGGGGGTAACCCTTCCAGTTTAGCTCAGTAGGTTAACTGATATTTAGGGGCCCTTTTTAATAAAATTTATAAAAAAACAGTACAAACAACATCATTACAACATAATAATAATAAAAATAATAATAATAATAATAATAAAATAATAATAATAATAACAATAACGTA